ATCTCATTTTTATCTGTTCCTTTCTCTACAGTTATTTACATAGATTACAGAATATTCACATCTTTGTATAATACAAGTAATCATAACCTTTGAGCAACATTAACATGGGTGTACGTGCCCCTCCCCCACCCTTCACCCCTAAGGAAGTAGTACTACCTTCCTGGGGGGTAATTAAGGAAAAATAATATTTTATTGATAAATTTTACTGATAAAGACAATTAAGTAACGGCTAGAATATAGCTTTATACTTTTATAGAGTTGAAGAGAAGGTTTGCAAAAACAAACTTGAATGCCCAAAATAAATATTCTATGCGGACGAAGTCGCTGACGCAGCTAGTACTTCATACGTTACCAGGTCAGCTAGTTCATGATAAAAGGAATCGAGCATGAGAAATCGTCCTATTCGTCACAAACCGGAAACTTCCGGTTACCACATAATGTCAAAAGTGCAGTGACACTAGCCAAACTCCCCTTGTTTTTAAAATGACTCATAAGCCCAATTTCGCTGTAACTTAGAATACACATCTATAAAATAAAAAAATAAAAGTGTGTCTGTTCGTAATTTTAAATAAAAATGATTATTATTCAAATTTCTTTTTATGTTTTTTTAACAGCTAAACATAATTCGACTGTCAAGGGCTGATGTAATTTGCTATCGCTTAATAAGCAAAGTTAGCATTAAAAATTTGAACGTACGAGTAACGCCGTGAAGCGGAATTAGTATTCAATAAACAATAACAAGTCATTAACGCTATCAACACCATATAAAATAATCTTTATTTAATAACTGTTTGTATATCTTTATTTATGTGACATTTAAAAAACTTGTTCTTCTAATTTATTCTTGATTCAAATTTTGATATTTTCGTAATACACTACGATAAAACGCAATTTAAATTTAAAAGACTTGCGTTCTTTTTATTGTACGATGTGTTTTTCGATCACTAGTTTTTGCAAAGTGTATAAATGCTTACATTGCACTGTCCGAAAAAATATCACTTATCCCCGTTGCACGTACTTACTTACTTCAATAGTTTTTGAAGATATTTGACTCGTTTATTATTTTCTAAAATGACTTTTTTACTTTAAGCGCAGCCTTTTCACTGTATTAGTGACGTAAACAACTTGAATTGACTATCATCGCGTTAAAAGCGCGGCTTCTAATCCCGGACAAAGATGATATTATTATTATGATCTTTGCAGAACTAAACTCTTAAGTTAATATACCTGAAGAAAATGTACCTACCTACGTGGTATTCCCAGTTGTATTTTTCCCAATGGGAAATTGCCCTGCTATGCGTCACATAATACATTTATTAAATATATTTAAAACCGCTATCTATTGTTATCACAGATAACTAACTGTACATTTAGAAAAGGAGAAAAATATGAATCATAACTCTTAATGTATTGAATTATTGTATAATTAATGTGGACATGGGCAATGTTGTATTATTTGAAATATCATATTCAATTTAATTGATAAATATAAATGAATACTCAATTAATTTAGATGTTAACAATTTAATTGAATTAAGTTATTTTTTGATTATTTATCGATTTTATTTGGGATGTGCAGCTCAGAAGCACATTTCTGCCCCTTCCCGAGATACCGACACTGATATGTTTCTCAGGGTTTCGAACTCAGGACCCTTCACATTTTAGGCAGGAATGTATTTAAGTACTACTTTAATTTATTAAATAATATCTTAAATTTATTGCTAAAAAAAGCACGTAAGTCGCTCTATAAGGGACTTACGTGCATGCAGTTTTATTATTGATGTCAAAAACACTTAAAAATAAACTAATTGAAAGATTGCGGCATAAGGGCATAGCACCATCCTAAAAATGCGTTCTTTGTTATTTTCACGAAAGACGACTCGAATTTCAAATGACTCACCGACATCTATCAGAAGTCTATCCGATTACCTGCGCGTGAGTCACAAATTATACACGAAAAATCCTCCATATTCCCGCATGCATGAGCAATTAACTTTAAGGTCAAAAACCATCTTTTAGTATTTGAATATGCAAAAAAACAGAAGAAAAACTATTTCACTATATTCCAGAACTGCGATAGATCTGTTATCGTGTCTTGACCTTCTAAACCGTTGGCCTCGGTGACCCAAAATATTTTTTACACGTTTCCGCGTAACCGTTCTAAACAATGTAAACTCCTCTATTGACTATCTGAAGGTCACTATGGGTAGAGTCAGCTGCAGGTGCATAGACAAATGACGTCCGCCAACGTCACCCAGTGACTGGCTAAGCCAGGATCCTTGCTGATGCTGGTTTTCTTGCACAATTCAAGAAATTCGTTGCGCAATCAGTGATAATTTCATTCACGCATGTACAATATTATTTAGTTCCAATCCAGCTTTTAGCAGGGGTGGTTTTGTCACTTATCGATCTATTAAAAGACAAATGTTATTGGATTATCCGAGAAAACTCCAGTTTTCTCTGGTGAGTATTTCCCGCCATTTATGTCAAAATTCGTTTATACATTGTGATTAGGATAGATATATTTTTTTTTATTATTTCATTTTTATAGTCTGTACTCTGTATAGATCACAAATTGCCAATTTTATTGCATAATTTAACGTAATTAATACTGCTTTCTTCTGTGTAAGGTACTTTTTTTTCTATTATAACATAGCCTTTACCTCATAGAGATGTTTAGCCATAAATTATACATTATTTAGTATGACGATTAATAGCTTTAAAGTATTTACTAAATCTTAACCATGATCTAAATTTAGTTAATAAAATTAGAGAATTTTATGAATGCTTATGTAAGTTAAGGAAATGTTACCCTAAGTTTACATAAAATCTCTTTTATCAACTGAATTATGTTGCACAAACGACGTAGGTTCCAGTCATTGATATTTTAACCTTAGGTAATAAATTTTTAAATAAAACAATTTTAACGGTATTAAACGCGATATATATTGGTTAACTTATGTATAATTTATTGTAACTACGTCCTTGACCACGGCTGCTGAAAAGTATTCGAAACATCGTAGTTAAAACAACAGTTCAACATAAGTTACCTAATATCTCGCGTTTTAAACCGTTAAAAGTGTTTCATTTAAATGTCGACACTCGCCTTAATTACAGACGATACTTGCATAACACATTTGGAGTTTTATGCTGTTTATGTTGTTGCTATGGTAACTCCTGCTTAGAAAAGTTTTAAATCTAAGTACGTTTTAGGTAGTTACCCTGTACATTGAACTACAAATATATACTTAGTATTATTTTATTCACTAACTAACCCATAAATACATTTTTATCAACGAACTATAGGTATATTTCTGCCTATTAAATAGCTTAATTATGATAATTTGCTAAATATTATAGAATTACATATTTGGAAAGAAAAATTGAGACACATTTTTCATTACACAATATTTCTTTTCACCTAACCTAGCATTGTCTTTAACTGTTCAATCTTGAACTTTGATGAAATGTTGTTTTCCTCAAGTTGTGGTGAAAGCTTAAATCTTGTGAAGCGAAGGCTCTTTTGTTTTCGTGCAAAACAACATTTAAAACAAGATGGCTGTTTTCAGTGACGCATTTCAAATAAAAATAGAATTTAAGAGTTGTTAGTGAAAATCTTAGAGATATAATCGAACATAAACACTTTATTCGTATTTTATTAAAAACTGTTTATTTTTTAAGCTATTTAAGTTCAGTTGGTATTATTTTAAAATAAATGGAAATCTCGTCTATAGTTTACGCGAGTAGTACACATTTAAATAAAACACTTTAACGGTTTAAAACGCGATATATTAGTTAAACTTATTTGAAAATTTTTTTTTTTTTTTAACTTCGGCCCGACGTTTCGGATGCTTTGAAGCAGCCGTGGTCTCCCCGTGACCATTTTCAAATAAGTTTAACTAATATATCGCGTTTTAAACCGTTAAAGTGTTTTATTTAAATGGAAATCTCAATAAATACAACTATGAAAAGTATATTGCAATGTGTCGAGGCGCTTATGAGTATCCGCGTCGTGACTCGAAATACAATTTAATAATAGATAAGTTAAATACAATTTTTGCCTTAAACTACTAATGTAAACTGTTAATTTAATTAGCAGGACGAAATTTTCCAAAACTCTAAAATATCCATCCGTCAAATTTTACATATCAGTAATAAAATGTCTTGTACTGTTGTCGTGACAAAATTTCTATGACACAGGCCATGACTATTAAATCTGGGATTATGACGATAGTAAATTATCTTGTAGGTCACCCGCAGGTGTAAAACGCCTGTATGACCCAGACACCTTTGAAAATGGATTTTAAGGAACAGCTAAGTACAAGCTAAGTAAACTTGGTAATTAATTAACACAGATTATACATAATAAATTAACATATTTTATTCTACAGATCAGGTGCTGGTAGACTATAAATATGTACATATATGTGTTTTCGACGTAATTATTATATTATTGTATATGATCGGGAAAAAAGATATAAAAGAGTTATACCTATACTTATAATATAAAATTTTTGCTTGATTATATACATATAGACTAAAGTAATGTGGAAATATATTAATAGGTTTAGAGCACTAATATTCGTATCAGTATTAATGTTTATTTGTCTGATAGTAATTTGATTTATATATTTACTTAATACGCGTTGTCCATAATATTTATAATTTTGTATTATTTAATTATGCATAGAATAAAATTAGCTTTGGTGTTATATTTAAATTAATCTAGCTGAAACCTGCATAATATTATTTGCGTATCATCATTTATTACATTATACTCGAATAATTATTAAAAATAAAGTATCAAGGTGAACTCTGCACTCGAATTGTAATAAAAAATTTTCGGTCGTGAATAATTTCGCAATATTTTTTTTAACATGCAAGTAGGTAATTCTCTGTGTCATTATGTTGATTCTGTTATTTTAACTCAATGTTGTGAAAAATATATTGAAACCGTACACGTTCCTCGTCGACATCATTGTATTGCTAAACCCAAATGAATGGTGTCGTTCCGTCTCTGTCTGAAGGCCGACAAACGCCCGAGTCAGAGAGAGACGGGCGTATCGCTTTGTTATTACTACAAACCGCATGGCGTATGTACGCGTACTACGCAAGTTGACGGTGTGTCGACATTGGACGTTGGGTCGGTTGCCGGCCTGAGGCGCCGAACGAACGCTAAGCGCGACTCGCGTCGACTTCGTAACGCGAACTCAGTCTCGCAATGGCGTTAGTGGGAGAAGGTTGTGTGTTCGTTTAGTTTGTCGCAAAACCCGAGCGGACACCGGCCCAAAATATTGGCCTGTCTATACACGCTCGAATTGCACGACGTGATTCAGTGTAGACGGAAGGGTATTTTCCTCACGACCAGTCAAAGTTTTGGTACGATATCCACTCAGGGCATAACATTTCAAGGTTCGTACGCGCACGTCAGATTGTAATTTGTGTAATTTCCCCTTCTGAAATCGCGAATCCACCGATTTCTAATCGCAGCGTTTCTTTGCAGATCATGTTCATCTCATCATAGTTCCTCTTCGTTTTAAGTGTTATTGTGTTATAGTGTTGTGACAGTGACAGTGTTAAGTGTTAGTGATGGATCCAGGATCGCCTTCGACGTTGTGGCCCCTGCGCCTGAGTAAACCTGTAGTGACGGGAGCCGTGCCTCAGAATGGAGAGAATAAGGATGAAGATAGATCGCAGTCGCCCGCGCTGACGGATCGCCTGTCCGCGGCGCCGTCCCCGTCCAGCCCTTCGCCCCCGAGCCCTGCGCCACCCCAGCACCAGTTCCAAGCGGCTCTCGTCGCCGACAAATACCTCTTGCTCGAACAAGTGGAGGGCTCGACCCTCTGTCGGTGTGTGGACGTGCGCACACAAGAGGAATACGTTTGCAAAGTGAGTTACATTAATGTAATCCAAAACCAGTCAAACCGCGTCTCTGTCACAAAATTAGTAGTGCAAACAACTCCCCTAACGTGAACAAAACTAAAGTGTACTCATCCTTCATTGCCTAACCAGTAGCTTTTAAAATTGCGCCTACGCTGCATAGATGTTCTAATTAAGTGTAGTAATGTTGCAAAACCGACCCAATAGCAATGGCATGATTAATAAATGTCAAAATAGGTACCTACCCGCAATAATGGCATTCGACCTGTCTTGTCTATAAGTGTTTTGTGTCGAAATTATGTCGGCTTACAAAAGTTGTTGCGTAGTGATTGATACTCTGTGTAATCTCTTGTTTTACTCGGCCGCTGTTTACTAATTGGCCAATTTTGGTCGAAATGTAAATATTTGGTGACGTCTGGTCACACAGAAGCCATATCCGGCAGATCTAAAAGGGTTCGAATTTGTCCCACGGGATCGAAACCCCGTGAAGATAAGGGTTGTGCCCACATGCAGTGTCCCTTTTATTGCGACTAATCAATTATTTTACTTAATATTGTTAATTTTGCCTCTCCCGTTAATGTTACTCTGTGGAGTTGTCCCCAAAACTAACCCTTACTAATTCGTGTCGTGGATATTTAATACCAATTTATGTCTACCTTCATAATCCTTTGCCAATTAAATAATAATTGCTTGTTTACTACGCTAAGTACATAAAAAAAACGAATGAAATAGGCGCGAGGTTTTTTATCTCAAAGTTTTAAAGTACAGTTAATGACGTCACCTATCGAAAGGCTCAAAAGATAAAACGTACAAATCGATCATTGAATTGCAAATTTTTTCATGCGTCCGCGCAAACTGTTCAGCGTTGAAACATCGGTGTCATACTTTATATGTCATGGCCCCGCGCTGCTCGATTGCACTTGTAGGCCGCAAAGCATCGTTCTTACAATGTCATATTCACTTATATTGCAAATCGCTTTATCTAACAGATGCTATTTTAAAGCGATAGTACAGACTATCTTATTGTGTACATCAATTTAGGGGTATTCTCAATCTACGTAAGATAGTTCGAGAGTAGTTTAATTACATTATATTATTAGACTTATACATTTGTAAGGTATTTAATAAATATCAAATTTGGACAGTATACAACAGGATTACATATCCTCGGATATACTAAAAACATCATCCTTCCTCCGCAGTCGGAAAACGCTAAGTTTCGTATATAGTAAATGTAGCGACGGTGTCAGTAACAGGCAGTGTTGTAAAGCGTTTAGCAAGAATAACGTTGCCTCACTTAACCTTGTCAGGTTCTCACGAGGGAACCTATTCTGTGCCTTGACAATACCTGTATGGGCCTTTGTTATCTAGCTATACCTAAACCTAGGCGATAGTAGTTATAAGGGAAACTAGTTTCAGATTAGCACTAAACGATGGCGAAATAATTTAACGCGTGACTAATTTGTGTGACAAATGACGTGCAGTGCGTCATTTTACAGATAACACATTTCTCAGTAGTCTATGGTGTTTTGATACAGTAACTAAATACTATCTGTATTACCACAGATTGTTGTAGCCAATGTCAAAATTTCAACGTTCGAAATTCGAATCATGAACCGTGCGTAAGGCAATGTTACACAAGAATTTGGTGGAATATTGTAAATAGCATTGTATCTCTACCCCCTTTTATTATGTCGGTTATGACACGTGGAGTTACGTCGAAATTGACCTTCTCATTGACATTGTGAAATAGACCAGTTGATAACGCTTTGGACGTTGAATGTCAGCGGTACTGGCCCCCACTTGCGAGTCCCCCCCACTAAATACCGCGCGTCATCCAAACCAAGTTCATTGCTCACTGTCGGCGTACTCGACTGCTGAAGGAGGGATATGTTTATGCTATCTTCGGCCCTAAATCGTATATGATAATTTAAATCAAAGTCGTATGAAAGCATAAATTATTATAAATATAAAGTTAAAAATAGTTCATGCACTCGGGTTTTTTTATGTATCGTAATCTGCACTTTTTGCTTTAAATAAATATGTCACGGAAAATCTTTATCTCGATGTTTGTCCTGTCAAGCGCAGTACAAAATTAGGATATCGCAAGCAAATTGTAGTCCTTATTTGCACGATGTTTCGCAACGCGATTAAATAAATATCGATAAGATTTAAGTAGGTTAGCTGCCGTACGCCGTAGTTCCGAATTATCAATACCAATGGCGAATTGTTATCGTAATATTTTTCGCAACATATTTGAGAAATAGGTCATTTTATTTTGGTATGGCATAGCCGAGACGTCTGCGGCCCGTGTCTATAAAAACATTTTCGTGCAAATTCGCCGTGAATCACGCTGAAAACTCTAAAGTTCCGAGTCTACATGACGATCCATAAATAAGTGTGATTAATATCACAAAAATAACCAACGAACGGAAAGGGGAAGCTAAAATACTCCTTTTATTTTTACATCTGAGCGTGCTAAATTCTATTCGGAATGGCAGATAAGATAGAGCCCGCATCTTCAATTCTGTTTGTATCTATCGCTAAGGGTCAGTCTTTCATTGCTACGCTTCGTTATTTCAAAGACCTTTTGATACGCACTCATTCAACCGCTTTGTAACTATTTTATTTTGTAACCGGTGTTTCGTATACTTGAAAGGGGAATTTATAGGTATTTCTCAAGGATTTGCAACGGTCCCAGTGATAAAAACCAAGATCCAAAACTTATTATACAAATACAATAGTCAACACTTGCATAGTTTATTTTATACAATTGAAATCCTTAGGCCACACTGTCCATTACCTTATAAAACAAGGATTTAGATCTATACCTTAGTTTAAGCGCTAAATATTAATTTATCTTTTCAGGTGGTGTCCCGGGATTGTAGTAGCCTATTACAAGCGCACTACCGGCTAGATGGACACCCGCACGTCAATCCAATCCACGAGGTGCTGGTGGGCGATAAAAGGGTGTATTTGATCTTCCCAAGATCTCACTCGGACCTCCACTCTTATGTGAGGGCGAGGAAAAGGTTGAGGGAACACGAGGCGCGAAGGCTGTTCAGGCAAATGGCAGAAACCGTCGCCGCCTGCCACGAACAAGGAATCGTGTTAAGGGATCTCAAACTGAGGAAATTCGTCTTCGCCGATCCGCAGAGGTGAGTGTCTGTTCATTTCAGCCTAATGGCCCATTGCGCAAACTTCACGTTTCGCAATAACAATTAATTTGAGGTTGCGAATTGTACGAATAATTAATTGTTCAAACGCTTAATACAGTGAAAATTGTGCACAAAGTATCCTAATATCGGTGGAATATTTCCTAACCGCATGTAACGTTTTCGCAAGTTTGATTTAATGTAGAGAAATCTTGTCTAGTTAGCTGCAATCGTTTGAAATACATTATCTCTGAACGGTCGTGATAGCTGAGTTAAGTTCTACCATTGACGCAACTAGATATTACCAACTGTGACTCTCGTAACATCGTATTATTCGATACAAAACTTTCGATATATGACCCTTGTCATCAAATCGATCGATACTTCCTCTCCGCCTACTAGAGACGGGTCGTGAGAATTTGGGCAAGAACAAAAAACTATCTCCGGGGAAACGGAAACGTTTTTCTAAACAACGTCATTTCCTCTCGCCGACGATAGCGTCGATCGATAAACGTTTATCGGAGAGAGCAATTAACCTGATAAGAATTGCCATTAGACGCCGCCGAATGTACACGTAGACCGTTACAAAACATTAACCAACAATATTAATTGCGGGCGGATTTTCGAACTTTTGAAACGTTATCTGGCCTCCATTGTTGCGAATATCTCCGGCAATGCTAGGCTCAAGGCGAACGGTGTCATTGCTGCGTACAATACGCCGCATTCGGGTCAAGGGTGAGCGCCGTGCGCCGGCGCAGCGCTAGCGTAACCCCCATATGCATACACCGTGCGGGTACCTGCCTTCCCTTATCACCTGATCCCGCTCACCCCGATATTTTATGCACCCCTTCGGTATCCAACATTCCTGTACGTCTCAGACCACCGTTCACGTGTCCCACATTCTCGACCTTTTGTTAGATTAATGAGATGTAAGAATCCAACCGAAACAGTGATGTGAGATTAATGAAAAGTTCTGAGACGTTCCGTCGACGGAGCATTAGTCGCGTTATCCGAACCCCGGCGGAGACATTTTCATTACGCCTACTCAGAGTTGAGGGTGACCGAAAAGGTTTTATTAACTCGTCGTACGTTCCCCTTTCATCTCTGCAACTTCGTCAGAAAATACGCAGTCACATATTGAAACATTGCACAAAGGCGCAATTTAATACGAACAGGCAACAAACTTGCTATCAAAGCGACGCTTCGGGAAACAGAAAGCATTACTCGAATGTAAAAACTTTTACGTAATAACAGAGCCACAGCCCCGCAGAGTACCGCATCATGACTTGAGGAAGCCTTTGCAAAGTTCCAGCTCAAAGCCGGAATGTTTTAACATTACTCCTATTACATATAGGGCGGTATCGTTATTTAATAGAGTCGAAACTAAACGCGAAGAATCTTGACCGTTATTGGCAGATGTAATTGCCATATGCCAACGGAAACGTGATTTTTTGTCTTAACACGAAAGCTAGCTGAGATTGACCCAAACCATCTCGCGAATGTCCAACTTTCCCAGAGTCTCGTCCAGTTAGAACGCCGGCGATTAGCATACCGGCAGCTGACCTTGTTCAGCCCTAATAGATTCTAATGATTATGCACACGCCGTAGTGGTCAAGATTATTCAAATGTTCTTTGCAATCGTGAGAATGGTTCTAAGGAGGTGCAATATGATCAAGTGGTCCCTTCATTCTCACGTTCTGTGAAGCCACCCCTGATTAAGAATTCCAGTCATCCGCCGGTCTCGCCGCGATTTCTCGCGATCTCGTCTTCTCAAAGGTAAATAAGAGTATTAATATTGATTCCATGCTCTGCGAGATGCTTTGAAGTGGATTTTCTGTACTCCACGTAGTTTTCAGCCTTTGAGACGGAAAGTTTTTCTTTACTAATAAAGGGAAGATCTCATTATAGTTCTTTTGATGTACAAATTACATTTTAAGTGGATCTTTTGTGTTGTTAAGTAAGTTTGAGAATGTAGTTTTTTCTTGTTTATGTTACTTTGAATAGGAAAATTTATTACATCTTGAGTTAGTTTTGTTATCAGTCATAAATTCTTTTCCTCGTCGCCAATAATTCTTTGTTTGACCGTTGCGAATTCTATTAACGAAAGCCGGATGTTTCTTCTAAACCACCTTTGTGGAATATGTAATCCTCAATTTCAACAACGACCGGAAAACGGAAATACATTCACGCGACACCAACAAGCATTGTGAATATTGCGTTTGTGATTTCGTTCGCCGGTTTTTTAATTTTCGAAAAGCACCAGACAGATAGGAGCCTGCATTTGTACGCAGAGATACAGCCTTTGTGAACGGCAGGTATAAAATTGTCTAGTATTGTTCGGATCTCCGTCTACCCCGCGCCAAAATAATAATAATAAAATCTCGCAGGTAACAATATTTTTTACGTAACACAGGAGTCGGATCGGGCGATCTAAAGCACACATGCTTTGATTACAAAACTCGATACTTTATAAAGGCGGTAGATCATTTTTCTAGTGCTGACGCGTCAAATTATATTCTAGTTTCATAATAAACATGACACCACAATGTGGAGTTATAGAATAGTAGATTGCAAAGCAAATCAAAATTCCTAAATCGAAGAGCTACAAGGAGTCGTATGTAGAGTGACGGGACGGTGTATTTATGTGTTAGCTGGCAGTCGCTAGCGGATGTGCCAAATTAGTCTTCGATAGACCCGGCAGACGCCGCCGCGTCGCATTCCGGCCCGGCCACCGGCTGACTCCGCATTTCCATCTCGACGAGAGCCTTGCTCGATGCCGCTTAATTTTAGAACGCATGCGATCGCTCCGAACATGCAATCGAAGTCGAAAACTCGAATCGGCAGCTCGCGCCTACACCGAACAGCTATTTTGAAAACGTTTTGAAACGACGTTGCCAAAGGTCCGTGGTGCAAGACGCGGCCATATTACAACGCATTTGCATAACACGGGCTCTGTAACACATCGCACTGGGATTCAGGTTCACAACAGAATTGGGAATTGCGTCACAGTTCTGTATCTGTGTTGATAAGATGCGCGGGCGCATTTGTCTATGTACACGGAATGGCTCCGACCACAAAATGACACGGTACGGGCGGGCCGGAATTCGGATGTCCATGTTCTTTTTGGGGCGTTCGTTAGCGGCCTCGGTCGAATTGTAGCTGCAGAGGTCGCGCAAGTGTGCCAATGTCGCCGACGCCGACGCTGCGCCCGCGCCGCCTCGCTCGTGCGGAACCGACTGGACTCGTTTAAAAATGATGTATTTACTTCGCACGCACGTTTATAGTTCAAGAATGACGCCTCGCTCCGAAATGAGTCGGACGACGGCACTCGTCATCCCTATAAATAAACTGTGTTCGCACCTTTTTCGGCGATACGAAAGCACCGGACGCGGCTACCGGATATAGACGTAGTGCAATGCTCTCGGACACTTATTACTCAGATCACAATGTAGGTTCCGAGAATCGAATTACCGGACACTGTCATAACACTGACTAAATAAATGGGATCGACGACAAAAACTAGAAGCTGCTCTCCTAACGGGGAACTAGTTTTTGCAGATGGGACGTGGAGATATCCGGTGCCCTTCAGGGGTGTGTCGTCGATTAATTTAAGACAGTTTCACAATTCGCGTATTAGGTGTCGGGCTCGCAGCTGAGAAAACGCACGACTAACTATTAAATCGATCCGGTTGCGTAAAACAAAGGTCTGCGAAGCCTTGTGCAAGCGCTCGCCGCGCCCGCTCAACGCCGACATATCTGCGGATTTGCGTAACGGCGCACTTATCCGCCGATACACAGGCTGTGTGTTGTGACACGCTCCGCTTGCCCACACCGATACCGCAATACTTCAAAATACCCACCCGAAACTGAAGCGATTGCCCAACGATTTGCCAAGACTCGGATTAGTCGTATACGTGAACTCAAAACGGGTCATGACAATGTGACTCGTCGAGTTCGTGACTCGAAGACGCCTGAACTGCGGTGACCTTTGTCCGGAGCTAGAGCATAGGGCACGTCGCAAAAAGTTTCACGCGGGACGGGGGCACACGCGACCGCATCCCTAAACGATGGGTGCATTCGTTTAGCCCTTGGCGAAAAAACTTGCACGTGGCAGCTATTATTCTTAGGCTCACGTATAATTGTTCCCCTTGATCGTCTCGCAAGAGCGCTCGCAGGGAACGAAGATGGAACCACTGACCGACGAGACACGCGCAGCTTAACATAAAACAGAAACAATCACGCGCACAAATACATTTTTTATGAAAGAGGAGGACAGGCATATAATATTTTGACAAGATGCTAGTCAACCTATTTCGACTTTGGATATTTGCAAATCCACTTATTGTTAGAAAAATGTTAGACCCAATGGGGATCGAAGCCACGACCCATTGATGGTAGCAGCGTTACACCAAAATATACATGTATAGCTATAACGTTAGTAAAGTCGCCTGTGTTAGTGTTCTTATACCTTTTACAGCGCTGTGCGGTGGCGCGTTCAGTTGTTTTAATGGTCCTAACTCCATTTGCCGTTCCGTCTCGTTCCATGTCACTAGTATACATATAGCACGGTGCATACATTACACTATAATTAAAACTGGATAATGAAGCTTTATTTGTTCAATTGGTGGCAGAAGATGGCTCATCCGTCGCTCGGTCACTGACCGACGTTATCCAGCGTGTCGAAAACCGTTCCCATAACGAGTTGATTCCTTTTCCAGCTCGGAGATCGTATTATTAGGACTGTGAACATTCCGTACTGACTGATGAGTTTTTGTTATCGAAATCATTGGAGCGCACGGTCTACATTACGTGAAGATAACCAAATTCATTTCTACAGAAATAAAGGCTCGTACCCTCGTTATCGGCACAATGGGTGTATTGACCCTGCTGCTGAGAAATCCAACGAAATTACCAAAGACCGCTCCGGAGTTACGCACCGTTCCTCTTTGAAACGTACACATTTATTTCTGTGGTTTGCTCGTAAAAATAACGCCGGGCTCACG